ACCAAAATTAGAGAATTGAAGATATCATTACAAAATGAACAAATCTGAGAGAGGTCGACATGTAGTACCTATATATGTAAATATCAAAGCAATTGGACTTGCGGTTTTCAACAAGAAGTCGAAAATATCACTTTTTACCAAAAATGACAAAAATATTCACCAAAATTAGAGAATTAAAGATATCATTACAAAATGAACAAATCTGAGAGAGGTCCACATGTAGTACCTATATATGTAATATCAAAGCAATTGCACTTGCGGTTTTCAACAAGAAGTCGAAAATATCACTTTTTACTAAAAATGACAAAAATATTCACCAAAATTAGAGAATTGAAGATATCATCATGAAATGAACAAATCTGAGAGAGGTCTACCCAAGGTACATATACACCAAGTATCAAAGCATTCAGGCTTGTAGTTTTCAAGAAGAAGTCGAAAAAGTAAAACATTGACACGGACGACGGAGACGGACGACGACGACGACGACGGACAATCACTCATATGATAAGCTCCGCTCGACAAAGTCGACAGCGGAGCTAAAAAATGATGTCATCAGGATTCAGGACATTGAAATACCATTTGAAAACTCAACCCAGGTTGGTAAGTTGTAGCAAAACAGAGTCGCATACATGTCATTTTTTCATATCTTCCAGGATACAATATTTTAATGAATTTTGTTCCTTTTCCCTGGTATTATTCATATGTAAATATGTACTACGTGCACATTTTAGGGGACTTTTACACAGAAATCGGGGGGAAAAACACAAAAAAAAGGACTGGCACAACACATATCGTATATAATCATGAATAATTCAGGTTTTTTGTTCTCTTTATCTGAAAAGATTCTGATCTCAGCTCAAACAAAGCACTGTTGTAAGACCAATGTTGGGGATGGCTAAGGAGACACTGTGTCTGCATTTCATCCCTTGGCAATTCAAGAGAGTTTAAATATTAAAACCAGTCGTGAGTAGTACACACTATAATCAGATAATTTCCCCTAAAGATGTAATGCATCCACCCAAACCATCTGTATACCATAATTTAACTTTTTTGATAATATAAATCTATATTGTCCCTTAAAACACAAAATGCAATGAGGTTTATTCCTATTCTGTGTATAAATATAATGACATAACACCGAGCACATGTCACCTGTCTAGTCAGGCAAATTAAGTAAGGGGATAACAGTGTTGTAAAATGATGTCACAGAATGCTCAATGAAAGCCTCCACACATTGCTGAAATGAATGGAAAAAAACGGCATCAGCAGGCAATGTGGTATTCGGTAGAAATCTACAACATCGCAGTTACTATCATTTTCTAACCTAATGTTCTTATTTAGAACAAATTAACAGGATTGTTATCAGTAACGCATTTCAGTTAAAAATGATAAATTATCTGAGACGTGTTGAAAGCGAAGAATTTCAATCAAAGAGTTTATAACTATACAATGTACCGGCAAAATATTGAACCGGTGTCCTAAGTGGTGTTTTTTTACTTGCAACTCAGCAGAACTCTTATTGTGAACAAGTACAGTAGATAAGATTGAAATGTGTTAAGTATGTATAGTTGGAAAGCTGCTTTGGTAGAAGTCTTGATTCCTACCCCAGTACAGTTGCATTTGATTTGCACCTTTATTCTGCACGCATAAATTCAAGTACAGTAAACTAGATATGCACGAATTCTTGCAGTATTTTGTCTGTATTGCTATAAGTAGTACACACACTTACATAGCCCCATGACCCCTCCTCGTTTTTTAAACAAATTTGGACCTTACATCAAAACATCGTACTGTATGACTGCATTGCTATGGATATGCACCGTCAGACATTACTCATATTTGGTATGTCAGATTGTGTGTGGGCAAGTAATGCCAAGAACACAGACATGTACAATGGAACTAAAGGTGTTTTACGTCAGTTCTTTTGAGTGCCTAGCATCATACTTCCAGTCACGTAAAAATACAGTATAAATGAAATTATTGCCTTCTACTTTAGATATCTTACTTCCCACTCAACAAGTTAGACAATAAATGCCCAAGGCATCGATTCAAATTAACAAAAACTAATTATTTTACGTCAAGTATAAACACTCATCCAAATAAGCGAGAAACAATTTTAATTTTATATTTTTATATTAGAATATGCCACTTTTGAGACAAAAATATTAGATGTAAATTAGGAATGTAATATCACATATGTATAGTTGATAGTTAAATTTTAAATACTGTATTAATATTTTCCACTGTTTATACTAGTATTTGATGAAAGGCATGAAATTGGACAGCAGTTCCATTTTGTAGTGATGAAATATGAACACAATGTACATGGTTGATCTAGCAGTTTTCGGCAACTGTATTTGATGTCTTTCTGAATTCAAGCCTTGCAATAAGATTGCGTTGTGTGGTCCCTGACGCCCCTAACCCCAAATTTATAGGGACAAATACACATATTATAGTGGCAGACACAAAAATATCACCACTCTTGTTTTATATTAAAAGGAGTTTAACACTTGGAATAGAGGTCATACCATCATCAGAGCAAATCTACCTAATATTTGGCACTTCAATCTATTATTATGGCAACATCATTAACCTGAAGGATCATGATCTATTGAACTTTCCATGGATCTATATGATATATAAAATTGGTTCTAGGGGTTCTGTCGCTACCATTCCAAAAACAAAAAATAGAGCCTCGCAATCAAGCGGAGTGAATGGACAGTATTATTTGTAATGCATCTTGCCCATAATAGATATTATTGAAATTTGAAATCTCTGTCAGTCAGGGTTACCATATTTCTGCCTAGAGACAACTCTCATTTAAACACACCTTATGGACAGTAAATGGATGGTTATGAAAATTAACCACTGTTCTGCATCATGATATTAATGCAGTATAACAAACAACCCCGGATACTCTGCTGTATTGTTGTAAATAGTAAAAAGAAATTGCATTATCCATTGCTGCAGAGTAATGAAACTAAAAACTAGTCTTGTTAAATAATTTCATCAAGATGGGACGGATTGATCACTCCAAATAACATCAAGGTCATTTAGAACAACCTTTATGACATCATCTGTATTTTCAGCTCAACACTCATTTTAAAAGTCGGCTTCTTTCACATTGATGAACATCAACATGTCAAACTGTCATCTTAAAACAGTTGTCATGGTAATTCATCACTTGTCCTTAACTGTCATGGCAACTGATGGATAAATCTATGCAAATTGCTCCCTGACATTATTTCATATAATTATCATTAAAAGCTAGCATAGAGCAAGTTTCCCCATGATTTTACTTTACATAATTTTTTTTTTCAATTGATCCAGGAACAATTTTACAGGAAATATGGGCTTGGAAAGTAATACTTTTTCTTTACTTTTCCTCTAGTAAAATCTAGAGAATGTAAGAGTTTTTTTTCCAGTGAATAAATAACCACAATTGTTGGAATCTGAATATTGTGAAAAATAATAATGTTGAAATACATTATTTTATTTCACATTATTCATGTATTTTACAAAAATCAATCAATAAACAAGGAATTCCTTCTATCAATTGACTAACATAACTGTTTTCATAATTTAAATAAAAATGGCACATCCAGCAGACACACAAAAAAAAAATTGAGATAAAAATCATCTATTAAGAACAAGAAGAAAAGAAAGCCCTCTTTCATACACACCAATATTCATTGACGTCTATTGAACAAAGAACTTCACTTGGCAAGAATCAGGTCATGTGTTGTTCCCATGGTAACCACTAATTTACAAATGTAATTTGCATGCAGTGTTAATACTTGTACAACTGCAAGGCATTATGTCAATTCAGGAAACTAATTTTCCTCCAATTAACTATCCATCTAGGCTGAATATTGTCACAATACCTTCACCAATTTCAAAATATTATCATCATGTTTTATTATAGACAAAATAAATTTAGTTTTTTCCCCCGGATAGAAATTTAATATTAGCTGACAACACAAGGCTAGCCAGGGTCTTTTTTTGCTCCATAATTGACACTAGTATTTTCTTTCCCAGGTATACTGAACAGGTACTATAGTAAGTTGTACAGTTGCAGCATTAACAGACAATACATGCAAAGATCAACAATAGTTTATGCTACAATACTATCACATACATTTGTATATGCGTTTATGCAATATATTTTATCATTATTTTATATCACTAAATTTCAGATTAATAAAGAACCATGTTAAATCGGTTATTCCTGTCTAAGTCAAGTTAGCAGTTTTATTTTATATATTCTCAATATACTATGTGTATGTGTATGACTGCTGTATCCAGTATAGCAACCATTACTGACAATTTATCTTATAATTGCTAAATACAACATAATATTATGGAGCAGGCCACAACATGATATTTTGCCATCTTGACTATATACAGTTTGTTAAGTGGTCTTTGACATCATACATTGTTGACCACTCAGCATCGGATTTAATTACAGTCAGCTGGTGCACAAGTGATAATAAAACAAATTATTGAAAATGACACAGTCCCTGTTAAATTTTTGAAAGTTCTCTTTGTGCTTGTCATATTAAAGCGGAGGGGTTGTCGCGAGCATGTCCTTGAAACTTGAGTCCCAAGTGTCGTATACAACAGATTACGAGACGACCCCTCCTGTTTAAGACATAACAAAGAAAAACATAGATCACAAGTGAAAGCATGTCCAAGTTATCACATTTTAAACAAACAAGATGGTCGCCAGTCGGCCATATTTGATCAAATTGCAAATTGAATTGACATGTACGTGTGTCCATCTATGACATGCTAAATATCAATGAAAATGATACATCCAAAATACGACATTTTCAAAAAACAAGATGGCTGCCAGTCGGCCATTTTGAATTAAATGGCTAAACCACTGCATGTGCATATGTCCCACATAAAGTACTAGGCACATGCAAAGAATGAACAGAATCGGTCCAAAGGATTCTGAAATATGACTTCGGACAGACGCACGGAGGCCGAATCATAAGTCCCTGTTTTCGGACTAACGCTAATAAAATTCGGCTGAATTCATTGTTTCTGTGTGGAAAAATCTAATTACACACCTAATTACACAAATAACATAGAACACTTTCCTGGGGAATTTGAAACCAAAATTGTCATCTGATTGGCTGCTGAGCTGAAATGCCAATTTTCAGAGGCAATACGAAAAAACAGATTCATTGTGAAATGGAATGAAAGAAATGCTTAAATTTGATGATTTTTTTAAAATTAAAACAGTGGCCATTTGGCCATCTTGAATCTGATCGTCACAATAATACCTGTGCATATGTGTGACATGGTGTATATATATAAAGTTTGAACATGATTAGTCAAAGCATTCATAAAGACAAAAATGACCGCAAGTCACCCATTTCAGATCTGATCTGAAAAACAAATCGACGTGCAACAGGGATCCATAATTTTAATAATGTATGTACCAAGTTTGAACAAAATCCATCCATAAATGTTTGATTTAGACAATTTTTCAGCACAAAAATAGCTGCAATTTGGGCATCTTGAATCAGATCGTGAAACAAAATGATGTGCATATGTATAATATCATGCATGATGTATGTGTGAAGTTTGAATATAATCGGTCCAGGCATGTCTAAGATACAGGTACGCACACACACAGGTCAATCCATGAATACCTGTTTTCGAACGACGCCCGAATGGGAACTAATAAGCAAAGTCAGGGATTTGGTTAAGAGACGGCCTCCAGCCATATGGCCTGCTATAAGTCCAAATTGGCTGTCTACTCTGCCTACTCGACCGCCTATGCCGGTCTTGCTGCAGCACTTCAGACTGCTGAGAGCCTTTTTATTTATTTTTTGGCCTGTTTTTACAGGATGATGGCCTGCTATTAAATGAATTTGTGAAACATTTTGGCTAGTGTTGACCCTGTCACAACGCTTGGCATATGCAGAGATCTCCAACTTTAATGCCACTACTGTCACTGATTTTCAGCTATTATAAGCTTTAATTGGGATACAAAAAACTTGCCTTCCCAATATGTCTGCTGTATCTAGGCAACAACATGTAACATAGAAAAAAAAAAGACATCCTCTAAACGGAGATGCTAAATAGATTTAAGTGCAAAGGTTACACTGAAATTAGAATCTGTTTTAAAAATAACACAGCCACAAAATCACACAGGGAATTTATTGCCTATTGTATTAATGCTTACACTCCAAAGAAAAATTACCGGGTATACAGTATTAAAAATTATAACATACCAGAGTAAGGATCCCATCAATTGCCCGATTGTACTTTTCACACAGTACAGACATGCTTTGATAGCTAAAAATAGAGAGAAAATTAATCAGCACATGATATCGACAGACAGAAAGGACATTACAATCGGTACAAGGTCGTTTTATTTTCACTAACAAATGATTTCATATAATTGTAAGTTAATACTGCAGTGAAACAGTATTATTGTATTTTGCAGCCTTGTCCCCCCATTGTACAAGGGCAGTTATTTTTTAATATGCCACGAATGGTTTTCTGGTAAATTAAAGTGGAGGCCACTGTATGTTTATTTTTTCCAAGGTTACAACTACACTTCCTGCACGTTTTGTTGCATTAGTAATACAGGTACACATACTGGCATTTTTATATTGACATGCAAAAATGTCTTGTTTCTATTGTCCTTGAGTTCAGACTGCATGTTGTTAGATTTCCATTTTATAGTGGAGACATTTACGACCTGGACTACAGAATATGCGAGTGTGGTCTTATGTATAGTAATGACACACAAATAAAACGACTGACTGAATTTGGAATATTTTGGAGTTGAGCTGAATACATACACAGATGCAAACCATCAGAATACATGTACAGTTTAAATAAAAATTATGATAAATAGTTTGAATAATGTAGAATATCCTTTTTTTTTTCACTTCAAACTTATTTTTATGCTATATTTTAGTAAATCAGTCAAACTAAATTCCAGCGAAAATAATTATTTTTAATTTGTTGTATATCAAAATCAATAAATTGCAGGTCCCAAGCCCAATTAGTGGAATTAAAATAAAAAAGTTTACAGAATGGAAGAGAAAAAATAAAAATAATAAAAAAGCTTTCAAATATGAAAAACAAATCTATAGTAAATGGAAATATTATGTTCAACAATGAAAAGTCCTCCCACTGTTGAAAGAGCATTCTCACCCATTGCCCCGTCTTCCACTATCAATACAATTCTGTCCATTATAGCATAAAAAATGAGGAAAATAACTAGGAAATAGCCCCCCCCCCCCAAAAAAAAACGTCTAGATATCCAACAAGCCAAAAATACCATAATGAGAACATTAAGCAAACACTTATAGACTCAGGAATTTGGTTTCTTTTAACAAGCCTTGTCAAAGGTCAATCAAGAATGTATTGTTACTTAAAGGCGTCCCTATTTTTCATAACAATCAAATAACCCACCTAACTCCACAGCCAGCTGCACTCGCATAGCTGCACATCAAAACATGCAGGCGCTATTTAAAAATGGCCGCCACATAAATATCTCGTATTTAAGATTTCAGTTAAATTTCAGTGAAATGCAACAACTTAAGCCACAGAAGATGCTTCTTTTTGTTGGGGTGAGGATGGGGTGTTTATAATCTTGAGAAAAGCAAGTAAAGACAGCAATTGAGGTGTTAGCTGGGCAGAATGATATCTAGGTCATCAATGGTCATCCTATAAGCTATTGAATTGAATAGCTAACTACATGTAAATATAATTACTTGCAATTATTCTGGTAAATATTTAAAAAAATAATTATTAATTATTAGTGTTACTAATACTTTCATAGTAGAACAGTTAAAACTCAATATTTCCAAATATTTTTAATTCAATTTAGAAACACTGATTTATAAGATTGACAGCAAAAAAGAAACAAAAACAAAAATTTTACTAATAGATTTAAAGAAATAATTTGAATGTAGCTTCATATTATGGTACAAGTCCCGGTGGACAGACTTCAACCACAGAACAAAGAAAATAATTTCAAGGTCGCTAAGGGTCAAGGGCTTCATGGAACAGAAACTATACATTGTAGTATGCTTTTTGACCATTTAAAGTTAAACTGACATTCCTTTTATCTTTAAACATACCAACAACATCACATTAATACATGATAAAGGCATACACTTTCAATAAACAGCAAAAAATGTATAAAGTCAGAGAAAGTTAAATGCCGACTACTGTACTTACATTTATGTCTAATTTGGTGATTTAAAAATCTAAAATCAATGAACACAAACCAAGAATGAATTTACTAAATTACTATATCTGGAATTTGAGATTTTATTTTTATTTACCTAGGAATCTACTTCATAATATTTTCAATATGAAATTGTTGAAAACAAGATGATACATCAGGGTTTGCATGTTGTTGAATTCTAAACACTTATAGCAGCCAAGTTCTCTAGTTGCTAAGCTACCGCGTGCGTGACAATGTTGATCTCATAAGACAAGGAAGGGGTGCAGGTGGGGTTAAACTAAAGTTGATTCATTTCCGATCAAGAATATGCAGATATTTGACAGTATCTACTTTGTACTAAATATGTTGATTTTTAAAAGTTTACAAAATGTTCTAAAATTGACATGCACAGAAAGAAGAACAAAATACAATACACGCAATTGTACAATAGGTCTGAGAGACAACAGTCGAGTATGTATATTTCAAAACTAGGACAAATAATTCGGTTACATATGATATGATATCTTGTTCTGAGACACCATATGCCAATTACACACAACAGCTAAGCACATTGGTAGACTTCGCAGTTAATGGCTACCAATATTTTTTTCGATATTCGACAGAAAAGTTACCATTGATATCATAGAGATAACTTCTAATTTGCATTATTAGGGGTCACTGCTCTATATGAACATTCATTTTATCTTGTCTGAAATACAGTACCACTGCACAATTTTTGTTTTCCTCTGCATTGTGTTCAAAAATACATGAAATGACGATTCAACATGAATATGGTGCATGAATATTTCACTCAAAACATCACAACTGTGAAGGATATGTATGCACCATGGTCATGTGATGAAAGTGAATACACACGTACAAGAAAAATTGTAAATAATTATTGATCATCTTACTTTTTAACATCATAGTCATTGAGTACATAGTTTTCCATTGCCAGCTTCAACTCTGGAATATCCTCGCAAACCCATCTAAATTAAAGATCAGGAAATTGAATTTTATTATTTTTTTCATCATTAAATTAACCTTCATAAGTTTATCGACATGGAAAGAAATTCTTTTGCACCTGAACATTACCCCTACCCTCCAGTACTTTCAAATTTACTTGTGTATGCCCCTCCTAAGAACACCTGAAGTGATTTAGAGGGGAATATACAATATTTGGGGGAGGGTAAATCTGGAGTTGGGGTGATGTATTTGTACAAAAAGGACTCTTTTCTTTTCAGTTCCAAAATGACATTACATTATCTTCAACTGCACAGTCAATTTTGAACAAGTGACTTTCCTATACAATTACAGTCAACTATCGAAATAAAAATTTGAGCTGCTCCATTTGGAATTTGTTACAAGGATAAAAATGTCCTGCATAGCCATTGTTGGCTATATATACATTCAATAATGCTTTAAAACCCAGACAAAGGGTGGCCATGGCATAACAAATAGCCTGAATTTCAAAAGAAATCAGTTCGACGTTCTTCCATAAGTCTAAGAAAGCAAAAAAAAAGTGTGGAATACAAATTGGATTGTTTACTTTTGGCCACGCCCCCAAAATGTCAAAATAAACAAAGAACCGGGCACTATTCATAATTCTAAAACGAGCTTGCCCTTTGAAAACCATTTGATTAGTCTCAGATAGCAATGGCGCTAAGCATTGGTTACGCTACCACGACCATCGCACGAAGGGACGACAAACATGCTTTTTAAAATACACATTTAATAAAATTTACAGTTTTTATTAACAATATTATTTCGATGTGACAGTCGTTTGTAAATCCTGAAACAAAAATGGGGTTGCTGCGCATAATTGATCGACATGTAAACAAACGCCACCCGAAGCCCAGAGAACACTCGGTTCACCACGCGCTTCGAAAATTGACCTCTTATTCAAAATATCGACATGAAGGTTCAAACCAAAGCTGACAAATCCATAGCTAAGTCCTGACCGGCCGGTTTTTCGGGTCGCCATCTTTGAAATTATCAACAAAAGACCTTGAAATCAAAATGACTTCGACAGCGTGCAGCGTAAATTAGCATAAGACCACGCCGAAAATTAACAGAGGAATTTGAACACTGTTCCTTACCGTATCGTGTCGACTATCTCCAAGGCACCGTCACGATTGTCCTGGAAAATGAAGTGACACTAAAATAAACGTATATACAGTATACGAGTCGAATGACTGGTTGGTTGTGTCACAAAGAAATGTCTGTTATGAATGTCATGTTTAGGTAGTAGTAGAGCTATGGATCTCATTCCACAAGATACAAACCTGAGCGGGTATCGGCCACGTATAAACTACCGCTTCGGCACCAGCCGGGCTGTGCAGCCGCAGTTCCATCACCATCGTACAAAGTCCAGTCCACTTGCCACCAGTTCATGCAAACGTCGTGGCGGTAAATGATCAGATCTGAGTCATTTTTGCCAACGAAATATCCCCGAATTATATAGGAAATCCCACATGTGTAATACGCCGTACTGCATTGCCTTTACTATGAAGAGTTACCCACGAACCGTGTCACGTGATAGTCACATCCCACGCTGATTGGAGGATATACATCAAACGGGTGAGTATGATAAAGCCCTTTCTGAACTACTTTTCTGAGGTCAGCTATTCATTTTTAACACAAAATTATTTCTATTTTCATTATCTGATCACTGTTGCACGAAACGTATTTTGGATAACCGGACACCCCTTCCTCACATTACCACGTCACCATGGTAATGTAATAGTTTGATGACATCATCACTAACGCGTTCTTATTAACTTTTGACCGCGTATCTAAGAACGGATATCGATATTGCATTTACAATTTGACGATGTCGTCACAAGTCGTCATAATAATCTAAAAAAATGCCTTCGACGGGAATTAAAAACAGGAAAATGTGACCAGATATCCACACATCGATAGAACGACCGGATGGTGTACGTGCAACAAATCACAGTCAAATGATTGTTCATATGTGCCAAGTTACTAATTGTTAGCCAGGTTGTCATGACAATAACTAAAGTGACACATCAGTATATATAATTCTGACTCTGTTTTCTTCAAGTCAGCCATTCTAGCAGGTCGTTAGTGTTATAAATAACCCATGCAATGTTTTTTTTTTGTCTGAAACCTTATTTCAAACTATCAAATTTTGATAAATAAAGTAGCAATACTAATTTAAAATTTCCTTTTACCTAGGCGGAGGAACCCCAACCCCATCCTATATTTCTGTCAGTTAAGGAGTTTACTATTGGAAACTATTGGAAAAAAGATCGGATAATAAAGTATATACACAAATCGTAACAAAACAAAATGTAATAATGGAATTCAAAACAATTTCACACACACGTGATAAAGAAAAGCAAAACAAGAAAGAATTCCACGTAAACATAATAACGGAAATAAAAAAAATAGCTCAAAAACAAATACTATTTCCCATTGTTAACCATACTCAGTGGCAGCGGCACGGGGGGGGGCAAGGGGGCGGTCGGTCCCTCGAAAAAAATGTCGCCCCTCCAAAACAAGCTTAACCCTTTGTGTCAGTAAAATTTGCCCCATGTAGGAAATGGCGTTTCAGAGAGCCTAGATTTCAAAATTTTTAAGAGGGGCATGCTCCCCGGCGCCCCTAGGAAGGTCGCGCTTCTTCGGCGCTAGGTTGTTGAGCAGACCCCCCCCCCCATGAAAATTTCGTGCCGCCTCCTCTGATAGCATTTGAATAATATGCCCGTCACATTATTTCAACGTGAAGTGCACCATTCCCATATATGGTAAGTGAAATGATATCCAATACATATATATATAATTGAACAGACCACGTGAGAAAGAGATGGATTACCAGGGAATACCCTTACATTTTTCATTTGTGACGTCACCTTATATTTATGTAACATTCGTATCGTGTAAGGATTATGAGAAAAAATATCCTTTTATAGGTATGGTTTACGAACAAGGATGGAAGAAGTCTACGGTTTCACCCACCTACCATTAATTATTGGAATAACATCGAAATTGACGAGCGTACGTCATTATCCCAAACAACATTTCTAGTTCCGAACTAAAACGGTAACAACATGATGACAACCACTTCTATTCGTCCTGCATTTCGAAAACAGCCTGTGATAAATATATTAGAATTATATTATAATTCCGTTATTTTATGACAGTAAAAAGTCGAGTACAAATGATTATAAAACTAACGTCGCATTTGTTTTTCACGTTTGTGCCCTGGTGATGCCGAGAATGAAACTGAGAATGCATGTTTTTACAAATTAACACATAGACTGATTGCGGTGTTTTATAGTGGTGCACGCGCGCAATTACGACACATATTTCGTGAAACTCACATTTTCGCTTATTTATTGTAAAACAAAAACCGAATATCATTCCGACTGGATCCAGTCTAATGCAAACGGCTATTTAATAAGTTGATACGGTAATCGTATTTTTATTTACTATACTACTGAGTCTCATTGTTATCTGCAGAATGAATGTTTCGTTTACCCCGTCAAATTAATTGATTAATCAATTAATTAATTAATCAATTCATTCATTCATTCATTCATTCATTTTAAGAACTCCAACATAGATTAGAACACACGCTAACAAGAAGATTATAATGATGTTGGCGACGTAATATTTACAAGTGTAATAATTAAATATAAAATAATAAAAACAGACTTAAAATCATCATTTAACAAAGTTGTTGGTTGCGTGACCGAAGCCTCCGATTGGTAACAAAAGACTTGTCATGGGTAACAAGTGACTGTGACTAGAACATGTTCACTGCACCGCGACCGATATGACAATATTACCTTCAATGACGACACGGATGTCACGTATGCACTTGTGACTATCACACAGGTCAGAAGATACAACCATTACATTTCATCTGCCAAAAGCCGTTTTGCATGCACAATCATTGATTGACATTTTTCAGCATACACTGCGTACATCTGGTCTTCTTTTGGGCCTTGACATCTGTGATCTAAACATAAGCCTTCAGGAATACGCACATACATCCACTACCACGACTTCCGGGTTATCGACTGACAGTATACATTTATATTTTTTCGAGTTTTTAGTATTTTATTTTAATCTTGAAATCTTTTCATAATCACCATTTATATAGCTCTAAATTTCTGAATTTGTTTCTAAGTGATCGCATGGTTTCAGGTGCATATACTGAAAAACAACATATGCAGTTCGTGCACCCAATTATAACTATATTTCTAATTATTTTAAATAAAAAATATAGGTTGCACCACGGTTACTAAAAATAGTAACCATGGTTGCACCGCTAAATATATTTCTAATACTAGTAGTATCCACGTGACTCCTTGCATATTATCATACGATATATTTGATCTTTTTTGTGTACGTTCCCATGACGTTTGCGAGTTGCACTCCAACTAAACATGTTTCCTAAACTAATGGCAAGCGAGGGTATTTGGTAGCGTATATGACCTCTCTGGTGAAAATTAGCATATTTGGCGGGAGATGATAACTGAGGTTTGTACGCTCTGGACGACTACATCATGTGTTGTGCACATGTTTATGACAGGTTGGAGTCCGACATTGCACAAATAGCATAGTTAACAAATTAGCATCGATGTTGGTATTTACTTAGCTTTCAACTATACTGTTTTTCACTATGATATTACTGTAGTTTTAACGAGTTCAAGTTTTTGATTTTATAGCTATATTTTTTTATCTGGCAAAAATAGAATAGCCCACCGTCGAATTTCTAATGATCAACATCCATACAACTATAACTACTAGTATAATGACAGTATATAGAATTTATACACCGAGCTCCCGCTTGGCCAACACAACATAACAGTCTGGTTTTGAAGTATTCAAATGTGGTTTGATACCTCTAGTCTCACATAAGCTCAAAGGTCGGACATAGACAAACATGTATACACTTGGTAACTTAGTAACTCTTCCGGCTCTGACAAACAACGATAGCAGGCCCTGATAAGCGGAGCTCTATCCTGACATTGGATTGCCTAAATTTGTCTCAGTCTCGCTCATGTTTGGAGAGCTAGGGGGAAGGGTGGGCGTGACATACGGTCACTTATGGTAGGATTTATTGCACCATAACTTTCACGGGGTTATCACGAACAGCTGTAGGCTGTCAATGTGATAAAGATTGGGCGTTAGACGTGGTTTTCTTAAAGTAAATTGGCACTAAATCAGGGCGAACATAGCGCAGATTAGCTTATGTCATTTTTAAAGGGCCATATGCCACGTATTTGTTGTTGAACAAATCAAAAACACAGGCTAATATGATAGGTCATATAGCCTTTACTATTTATAACTAAATAATAATAATAATAATAATATTTATTAAGCCTTCGGAACGGCAACAAAATAAAAGAAGAAACGAAAAAACATACATATCTGAAACTGAATAAAAATAAAATAAAATTGACAATAGATCTCACTGTGAATTCATACTACTTTCATTTCTGTGTTTACAAAGATGTTTAAGAAATGTTCGTATCTCTTTAAAAACAATGTCCTCCAACTCATAATTCATATTCCCCGGAATGTCACCAAAAAAAACAAATTAAACTTGAACCCCCCCCCCTGAGAGAAGGCAATTCGTTAGTGTTTGGCCGTCATCGATATTTGAGACTATTTTGATCAAATCAGAGTAAAATTTATTTCTTAAGTGGAATGTTGCATTGCATAGAAATAGGAAATGATATA